GAGAAGGTTCTATGTGGCACTGAGAAGAAGGTATATTCTTTTGTGTTTGTTTGGAATGTTCTATAGATATTTGTGAAGTCCATTAGAGTGATAACATCTGTTAGTTCCCCAATTACTCCATTAAGCTCTGTCTGCCAGACCTGTCCAATGGTGAGAGTAGGGTGTTGAAGTCTCCCACTATTAGTGTGTGGGGCTTGATTTGGGTGCCTTTGTATTTTGGGCATAGATGTTCAGGATTGAGACTTCATCTTGATGGACTTTTCCTGTGATGAGTATGAGATGCCCTTCTTCATGTCTTTTGATTAATTTTAGATTGAAGTCTAATTTGTTTGATATTAGGATTGCTACACCAGTTTGCTTTTTGGAGCCATTTGATTGGAAAATCTTTTCCAAACCCTTTACTCTGATGTAACGCCTGTCTTTGAATTTTAGGTGTGTTTCTTGTATACAGCAGAAGGATGGATTCTGTCTTCGTTTCCATTCTGTTAGCCTGTATTTTTTTATGGACAGGTTAAGACCATTGACATTGAGGGATATTAATGTCCATTGATTGTTGGTTCTTGTTTGTTTTGGATTTATTGTTGGTGGTGTCATTGTGTGTGTATTTTGCCCTCCTGTTTCTTTTCCTGTTTGGTAAAATTGGATTATCTATTGCCTATGTTTTTGTGAGTGTAGTTCTTTGTTGGGTTGGTGTTTTCCTTCCAGAACTTTCTGTAGTGCTGGATTTGTGGATATGAATTGTTTAAGTCTGTTTTTGTCATGGAATATCTTGTTTTCTCCATCTATAGTGACTGAAAGCTTTGCTGGATACAGTAGTCTGGGTTGGCATCCATGCTCCCTTAGTGTTTGTAGGATATCTATCCAGGACCTTTTGTCTTTCAAAGTTTCCATTGAGAAGTCGGGTGTGATTCTGACAGGTCTGCCTTTATATGTTACTTGGCCTTTTTCCTTTGCTGCTCTTAATATTTTCTCTTTATTCTGTAGTTTGGTGTTTTGATTATTATGTGTCGAGGGGACTTCTTTTTGTGGTCTAGTCTGTTTGGTGTTCTGTAAGCTTCTTGTACTTTCACAGGCACATCCTTCTGTAGGTTGGGGAAATTTTCTTCTATGATTTTGTTGAATGTGTTTTCTGTACATTTGAGCTGTATTTCTTCACCTTCTTCTATACCTATTATTCTTAGGTTTGGCCTTTTCACAGTGTCCCATATTTCCTTGATATTTTGTGTTCGGGGATTTGTTGGACTTGAGATGTTCTTTGGTCGATGACTGTATATCCTATAGGGAGTCTTCAACAACTGAGCTTCTCTCTTCCATCTCTTGAATTCTATTGGTTATACTCACATCTTTAGTTTCTGATTGTTTATCCAGCCTTTCTATTCCAGCTTCCCATTTATTGTGTCTATTTCACCTTTCATACCTTGAAGTTTTTTGAGTGCTTCCTTCACTTGTTTGGTTTTTTTTTCTTGGCTCTCTTTACATTCTTTAAGAGTTTTGTTTATTTCTTGAATTTTTTGCTTTGTCTTTTCCTCCATTTTATGTTATTTTTTGCTTGGTTTTTCTTCTATTCTTTAAGGGATTTTCTTGTTTCCTCTTTAAAGGTCTCTATCATCTTCCTAAGATAATTTTTGAGGTCTTCTTTTCTTTGTCTTCTGTGTTGGGCTTTTCAGATCTTGCTGGTGTCGAGTCCCTAGATTCTGGTGGTGTCATATTGGTTTTTTGTTGTTGAGTGTGTTCTTATTCTGTCTTCTTCCCATCCCTACTTCCAGTGAGTGCAGGTGGGGTCTCTTCCTCTCTCTGGTGGCAGGCGGAGGGATCAGCCTCTGGTGGCAGCCAGATGGCAGAGGGTGGTGAGTGGACAAGGGTGGGGTGTGTCTGGACTTAGGGTGGCCCTTCCCGGTCTGGGCAGGTCCACTCTTGCCTGGGTGGGCTCAGGCAGAATAGAGCAGGGCTTGATTGGGGAGGTTGGGGAGCAGACAGCGCCCAGACTCACCTGAGGCTCAGGTGCCCGCCATAGGACAGAGGATGGAGTGTGGACAGGGGTGAGGTGTGTCCAGACTGAGGGTGGGCCTTCCTGGTCTGGCCAGGTCCATTCTTGTGGGGGGGGGGCGTTCAGGCAGAAGTGAACAGGGGTTAATTGGGGAGGTTGGGGGAGTATAGCAGTGCCCAGACTCACCTCTTGAACTTGTTTCTTAATAATTTAAATGTAATGGCACATGTGTCATGTTTTCAAATATTGTGAAATTGAGAAAAATAACTGACATGCTCATATGCAAAAGATTGATTCAAAAAGATTGTAATGTTGTTTGACAGGGCCATGGCCAAATCTCACACCCAGATTCAGACTTTGAAAGTTTTAAGTGTGGAGGTGCCAACTGTGATGGCATAGGCCTGTAACTCCAGAACTCAGGAAGCTGCCTTAAGAGGATTACTCTGAATTCAAGGCCCTGCCCTGACTACAGAGTGAGTAGCTGGTCAGCTAGGATAACATAGGAATATCCTGTTTCACAACAGCAGCAATCCCTCTCCCCAAACCAAACAACAGTTCAGCTAACTTGTTTTCAGTGTGATACTATTTGTTTTAAAAATTTAATCTTTATTAATCTTGCGCTCTTTCATTCATAATACTTAAAGCTGATGCTCACTCTGCCCATAGGCTTTTTATTCATCAGTTCTCAAACTTTAAAGTATATCAGAACCAAATGGTGTGCTTTGAAAACACATTCTTAGGCTGTATCTCCAGAACTTGGCTCAGTGTGAACAGGACAACCTATTTTAACCAATATTTCAAGTGATTTTAGATAGATGATACCTACAGTGCACAGGCAAACACTGATTTCAGACCTTATATTACCAGCCTCCTCCTCCCTGTCTGTGACAAAATTACACTACAGCATAATCTTTACAGTTAGATATGTAGTTTACACAGTAGACACACTTAACTACAAAGTTAAGAAAATGACAAAAAAGACAAGATTAAGAGACAGAAACACCAAATGTAGAGCTTTCATTTATGTTAGTAATCACAAATATATTCATTGCTTTTATACAAAAGGAGATTTTGAGAAAACTTTGCTTTGTCACCAGGGGTATATCCAAGTTGCTTGAGAGAGGTAGTTGAGACTTGAGTATATTATCTAGAAAACAGTGACTTAAATTACCCACTTAACTTTTGGGGCTAAAAGGGAGTCAGGGTCTCATGTAGCCCAGACTGGCCTTAGATTTCCTATGTAATCAACATTGGCTTTGAACTCATGAGCTCCTTTTGCTGAGATTATAGGTGATTAATTGCTCAGCTCTATTCACCCATTAACTCATCATCACTCACATACCCTCTTTCTGTTATAGAATAAGTCAGTCATTTAGAAACTATGGTTGGGGTTAGGGACTTAAAGTAGTTGAAATTTGTTTTGATTTCCATAATTGCCACAAATATCCTTTTATCTGTTTGCTTTTCTGATAGATAAAATTGTTCCTAAGATTCCAGTCATGCTCTCCCTACCCATGTTCCCCTCTCTTCTCTCTTTTTCCTTGTTTGTGGAGTCAGTGTTTTGCTGTATAGGCAGGCTGGCCTTGAACTCATGATCCTTTTACTGAGCCTTCTGTACACTTAGTTACAGACATGCACTACCACACTCAGAATGAGGAGAACCAATTGTTCCTGAACCTATTTTTAAGTCCTATTCAGAATAGTATTAAAATGAGAATACAAATGGATGGTATAGGGGCATCATTTGTTATAGTGCCTGGTACTTTGCTTTTGCTAGAATTTTACTAGAGATTCTTTTAAAATTTGAAACTTATTTTTATTTTGTGTGTATAGGTTTTTGCCTGTATGTATGTCTATGTACTACATGCATGTCTGGTACCTGTGAAGCCCAAATGATGGTGCTGGATCCTCTGGAACTAGAGTTACAGACTGTGAGAGCTGCCATGTGGGTGCTGGGAATTGAACCCAGGTCCTCTGGAAGAGCAGCCAGTGCTCTTAATTTTTGAGTCATTTCCTCAGTTCTTCACTACAGAGTCTTTGAAGGACATATTGTATGCTAGTTTTTCATATCTTTGTCACTTCCTGTGTTTAGGCTGCCTGCTTAATTTTAGGAGACTCTTAGAAAATTTTAGATAAGAGCCAAAATAATGAAATACAAATGTAGCCACCCTGTTTCCAAGACAGGGAATTCTAGGATGTTGGAAGTGGGAATAGAAACTCAGGTTTGGTTTTTCTTTTTAAATTAGACAATAATTAAGTGAAAAAATTTCAGGCAAATACTGCAGTGATTCAGTTTTCTTGTTGAGACAATATGGATAATGTGCATGGTTCTAAAAGGAGTTACTAGGAGGGAAAGCAGAAAGTTAGTCTCAATCCTGTCAGAGTAAAATGTAACATTAGTTTAAGATCTATAAGTTTCAGATTCCACTTCTGTGTCTGAAATTATAAAATAAACTGGAAGTGGTAAGAGTCAACACATGGATGTTTAAATATGATAATTTGGTTAATTCAATACCAGCAGAGAAACTGATGCAATATACAATTAGGAACCTGGAGGGCCTTTGCTACTTCTTTTTGTTCATTCCTTTTTTTTTCTCTTTCCTTGTACATTCTAGCCATGAAAAATGTCAGATATTTGATTTGAAGGCTAATAAGAGTATGTGTAGATGATGAAATTGAGAAATCATATTTAAACATTCTCAAAGAGTTCTGACTCCACCATCTTATTAGATTTGACATTTATACATTGCTGTAGCAAAACACAAATGCAAAACACAAATGTTTCATCAAATCCTGGCTTTGCAGGAAAGCTTTAGATTAGAAGGAAATACCTAAATGTGGACCACATGCTTCTTTCTGTAGCATACAGCACAAACCTGTACTACGATTGTGATTGTTTGCAGCTTGCCCGTTGCCTGGGATGTTATTTTAAGAAAGCAGAAGCAACATCATTTGCACACTCCTTATAGACACACACGTTGGCTCTGGCTTTCTGGCTTCAGTGTTTCAAAAGTGAAGACAAGATGAAGAAGACCCACTTGCTTCTCTGGGGAGTCCTGGCCATTTTTGTCAAGGCCATCCTTGTAACTGGTAGGTGGTACCTATACCATAAAGTTAGGTAAAAGGGAAAATAAAGAGCAGACTGGGTCTTAGGTCTAAAGATTTAAGTTTATGCTTTGGCTGGCTAGCTGGACAGCTGCATTCTAATCTTACTAGGCAGTGGTATATACACAGACAATGCTCATTGTATTTTTCTTTTTTTCTTCTGTTTAGCTACTTCATCTATAGCATAAGAAAAATAAATATTTTGGTGTACATATAGGTAGACACATAACTTTCCATGCCTAACTTTAAAAACTCAGTAGTTCTGTCCTTGAGTCTAACTAATTACTATTCTAGAGAAGTGGAATAATAACTGTGGTAATTATGATATAGAATATATTTTGATTTTATCTTCCCAGAGAAATGGAATCAGTTTCAACAACTTACTTACATCATAACACTTTATAAAAATATTTAGTGTTATTCATGATGTGTGAACTTCTGATATTTTGGTTTGTTATCTTCTAGACAACTGTATCAAGAGACATATTCTGAATAGAGAAGTATATCCTTATTTTAAGACAGAAATGTAATTAAGCATAATCACTTTATATTTTATTAACAACATGAGTAATACAGTTTAAAAATAATATTTAAATTATAAAATAATAGAAAAACATATGTATATATAAATATTTGTGTTTTCAACCATGTTTATGTATCTGTAAGCAGGTCTATATATAATATATATATATATATATATATATATATATACATATTAATTTTGGTTGAAACTAACCGGGAGGAATTTTAAAAGTTGCTTATCTGAAGCTATTGGAAAAAGAATATTGGACATCATTATTATTTAATTAGAATGAGTAAAATAACACTATTACTGGCTCTTAAATGATCTGTTGTTGATTCAACATCAGATAATTAGAGTTTTTCTTTGTTTATTCTTTTCAACATTTACCAGATCTCTTTGAGCCACATATCAGAGAATGAATATTGACTCTCAAAGTAAAAGCTGTAATACATACCTAGGCATTTATTACTTTCCTGTATAATGATATTGCATATTAAATTTAACTCATACCTAACAATATTTTCTAAATTGTTTTTGCAGCATAACTTTGCAGACAGTATTTAAATCAATATGCACTCTCTCCTTTAAAAGAGTTGTTCTAATAAATATTTTTTTCTTCTAAGAAATACTAATACAGCTCTTGTTACTCTTTTTGGTTGAATTTGGGGACTGTGATTATTATTATGAAAAACAATATAGATAGTTTAGGAAAGTTTTGGTAGAGAATATTAAATCTTACAAAATAACCATCTTGGGAGAAAAGATCCTTATTCCAATACAATTTAAAGGGAACAGTTTTTTTTTTTTTTTACCAGAAGAAATGAGAACTCTGGAGTAAATTAGGGTTTCCAGTTGGATTTATAAATGCTTCATATTTGCTTTCAGCATTTGCTTTGGTTGAGGAATAGTGTAGATTTCTGTTTTATATTTCATATTAGTTTATCACTGATTTTTACTAGGTGACATCATTAAATTAGAAGCATTAGATAGAAATCAGAATTCTTTCAGCCTAGCTTTTCACTAATTTTTACAATGAAGAAAAAGAAAACTCCATTTAGATTGTATTTAGATTTCCTTTGCTCTTTTAGATTAGAGAAGAAAACAAATAGAAAGACTGAGACTCCCGGGCGTTGGTGGCGCACGCCTTTAATCCCAGAACTCGGGAGGCAGAGGCAGGCGGATTTCTGTGAGTTCGAGGCCAGCCTGGTCTACAGAGCGAGTGCCAGGATAGGCTCCAAAGCTACACAGAGAAACCCTGTCTCGGGGGAAAAAAAAAGAAAGACTGGGACTGATGAACAATAAAAATTAATAAAAATTAAGGTCTTTAGATCCAAGGGTCACAGTGGCACACACCTGTAACCTTAGCACTCAGGAGGAGGAATCAGGGGATGGAGAATTCAACTCCTCCCACCCCCAGCTGCAAAGTGAGTTTCAGGACAGCCTGGGCTATATGAGAGTGTCTTATATATTCAGACAAGAAAAAACTTATCTTAAAGCACATGTACCTTTTTTGAGAGACAATATCTCTTTTTGTAATGCAGACTGTCCTGGAATTTACTAGGTAGCCCAGACAGGCCTTGAATTTCCTGTTCTCCCTCCTGACTTTTCCAAGAACTGGGATTGTGGGCCTGCGCTACAACACCCAGAATAAAATAGATTTTTGTTTTTCGTTTTCATGATATATTTTACCTTTCAAACCCAAGGTGACAATGAAAAGACCATTCTTGCTGACAACAAATGCATGTGTACCCGAGTTACTTCCAGGATCATCCCGTCCACTGAGAATCCCAATGAGGACATTGTGGAGAGAAATATCCGAATTGTGTATGTAACATTCACATTTGTTTTCTTTTCTCTTATAAGCAGAGAAACTTTCTTTTCTTTTTAAAGGCAATCATGCAAGGTTTTCTGAAACAGCTCTCTATAGCAAGGAGGGGTCTTGAAAGGGGGTTGCCTTGTTTAAATGTAGTGTCTTCAGCCCACTTTTAATATGTAGCACCTTTAATGAGATTGAATCATTACTTAACTGAAGTTGAATTTTGTTAATAAGCTTGAGGAAAGTTTACAGAAGTTGGGGGCAGAAACAAAGGAAACCACAGGCTCCTACTTAGTCACCAGCATGGTAGTTTATATGCAGTGATTTCAGTTTGAATCAGAACTTTCAGTTATTCTTAATCAGCTTGAACTGCAACTTCAGATAATGATAAACACTCTACTTTTGTTCCAGAATTATTGACTATTGAGTATTTTACATTGTTTTCATAAAGACAGACTAATTAAAACTGATGAATTGACTTTTGACTCATAAATTGGACTCAGAGCTGTTCACATATAATTTCACATATAACTCAGACTCATATACTTGGTAGCTTTTAATCAATAGCAAGAATATTGATAATACTCGAGAAATAAGATTTCTGCTTGATCCAATCAGTGACAAATTTTCCTTGCTAAATACTCCTACCTTAATAGTTTTATCCAATCAGATACCTCTTGTAGGAAAAGAATATAGCAATCAATTTAACTATCAGTGGGGAAACAATTTAAAAAATTGTTTCAAAGTCTGACTGCATCAGTTTGTAATTGTGTACTGTCACAGATAATCAAATTATTTGTCTACTCCCCCAAAATTTCTCATCTTGAAATAGAAGAAAAATGAGTCTACTTCATAGGATTATTATTTAAAGAACTGAGAATATTCTTTTTTAAATGTTGTATATTCCTGTCACATAGTTAACTATGTGTCTGTTAACATTTTGTTACTGTCCTGATAAAATGCCTTTGGTGCTCTCCCCAGCATTATTATCATTATTATTACAAATGTGCCGTGCCTCCCTACAAAGCTTAGTATAACTCTTAAGATTGTTCACTCTATTTCCTTTGTGTTAAAAACAAACACACACACACCCAGGAACTTTGTAGTGTATCTTCTTTCCTCTCATTTACAACTTTCTGTTTTTAATCTTTTACATTCTGTTTTTTACATCTACTGGGTCCTCTGTTCAGGAGTTATTTTTGTCACTGCTTTTAGCTTGGTTAACTCTTCCTCAGTCTGGGTGTCTTAGCCATTGATTCCCGTGGGAAGTTTTCAGAAACTGCTCCCTTTAGCAGGGAGGAGTCTTAAAGGACATTGCCTTGTTTCAGTGTAGAGTCTTAAATCCAATTTTGATGTGTAGAGCCTTTAATTAGATTGAATCATGATTAAATGAAGTTGAATTTTGGTTCTTTTTTTTTTTTTTAAAGGGGTGAGCTTGAAATGCAGTTCCCCAGTACCACAAATTATGCAGTTGAATTTCCTGCATTTGGAGAAATCGCAGGAGTCAGCACATCTGAGTGTAATGAGTTGAATTTTGTTAACAAGCTGAAGCAATTTTACAGAAGTTGAGGGCAGAAGTTTTCACTCAGATCCTGTCCACAGAACTCATTGGAAGTTATAGATTCTCACAGAGACATGCATTTTAAGGGAATTAGTCCATGACATTACACATAAACCATATTAAAGGACCTCTTATGTTTGAATCCCCAGGGGGACAATTGTTTCAGTAGGCTTCCATGCTTTTCTAATTCATCTTTTACTTGTATTGTTCACTGAAATCAAATAATTTACTTACTTCCTGACACTTTGCCTGATGTGTATGTATGTTTTCTGTTATTTTTCCCCCCAAAAGGATATTGCCAGTGCTGTGTCATTATGGCACCATTCCCAAGTCTATTACTGTAATGGTGTGGTTTTATGGAAGTAATGTGTCTAATTTGAACCTTATTCCTAAGCTGTGAAAAAGGACAATCATATATAGATATATATGTATTTGGGGCTTAGACTATATAATATAAACTTATACAAGAACAGTGTTTGGCTTACAATAGACCCTTATAAAGGTTTATTTCCCTGTCATTCCCATCATTTAAAATCTTTTCTTGAGTTAATGAGATGGCTCACTGCATACAGGTATTTGCTGCTAAGCCTGACAACTTGGATTTGATCTCCAGGACACTGCATGGTGGAAGGAGAGGACTAACTCCCACAAGTTACCCTCTGACCTCCACATGTGCTGTGGCATGAACACACTCACCATCAACACATACATATAAGTAAATAAATGTTAAAAAAGCCTTTTCTAATATCATAAGAGCCTTTATAACCAAATCAAATCATAGATATTTATTCATTCAAAAATATTTGTTTAAATGTAACTTATATTTTTATTATGTAATCCAATAACTTTGGATAGCTTTGGGCAAGTGCTTCTCATGAAGAGAAAACAGAGTGCCAGTGTGTGCTACCATCCTTTACTATTAATAATGTTTTATGTATTCCTTGTTAACAAAATAAGTTAAAAATATTTGTTTAGTGATTGGCCAATGTTGAGGGTTAGTACTGGGAATACAATATAAATTGTATGAAGTAGTCAGTGCTGAATTGAAAATGGTGACATACTGAATATTCTCAGCATTTGGGACAAGGAGGCAAAAGAATCAGGAACTCAAAGTCATCCTTTGCTACAAAGTCAATTTGAAGCAAACCTGAGGTATATGAAATACCATCTTAATGCCCAAATAATAAAAACTACACCAAACAATCCCTCTAAATCAAAAGAACAAAATGAAAACACAGTAAAACCTATATCCAAACAAAAACAGACCACCCCCCAACAAACCATTAGATAAAACATGCCCCCGGAGGTGTTACATGAGTATGGTTCACACAGACATATATGCAAGCAAAACACCTATACACATAAAATAAATGAATGAAAATAATTTATAATTTATGTCTTTAAAAAATATAGATAGTGGGCTGGAGAGATGGCTTAGAGGTTAAGAGCACCGACTGATCTTTCAGAGGTCCTGAGTTCAATTCCAAGCAACCACATGGTAGCTCACAACCATCCGTTATGAGATCTGGTGCCCTCTTCTGGTGTGCAGATAAACATGGAAGCAGAATGTTGAATACATAATAAATAAATAAAATCTGAAAAAATATAGATAGTATCTCTTTTGCCTGTTCATTCTGCAAGCAATGTACACCTTCTACACACCACACATGTAGCCATGTATAGCCTAGGAAAACAACTAGACTATAGACAAGAAACTGATAAAGTATAACAATTATTGTGAAACCTGAATAGTAGTTTACAGTTGAGTGAAGTCATGATAAGTACTATTCTAATTAAATAGTAAATATCAATTTCTCAATACTTTTCTACTGGAAAAAACAATATTTGCATTTATTGTTTTACTGTTTCTTCTCTCTTTTTTTAGCGTTCCTTTGAACAACAGGGAGAATATCTCAGATCCCACCTCTCCACTGAGAACGAAATTTGTGTACCATTTGTCTGACCTGTAAGATTTTTCTTCATACTTACATATGTTAAAATTAATTACTTTTAATTAACTTTATTAATAATGGTATTTGTGAAAATACATTGGGATATAAAAATTGACAAATGTCTGACCTTTTGAATACACTGATCCTATGTTAATGATTAGGTACCAAAACTTCATAAAATTTGGTCATAGGAAAATAGTAGCAGTAACTTTATTCTAAAGAAGAAATTATTGTTATTTATACAGAAGGGGCCAGTTTATCTACAAATTTAAATAAGTAGCTTTAGGTTTTAGCATTCATGTGCTTCTTTGCAGATGATAGAATCCAATGTTAAACAGTTTAAAAAAAAGTTTCTCACTGGCCATGGAGGCATGAGCCTTTAATCCTAGCACTCCGGAGGTAGAGGCAGGCAGATCTCTGAGTTCAAGAGCAAGCAGCCTGGTCTACAGAGTGAGTTCCAGAACAGCCAGGGCTACACAGAGAAACCTTGTCTTAAAAAAACCAAACCAAAAAAATCCTCCAAAACCCCCAAAATTCCCTCAAGAGGATGGTACAGGGACAAGAGGACTAATGGTTCTAGGCCACCATGAGCAATATAGTGAGATACTATGTGTACATATATATCTACTCATATATCCATATATATATGGACATATATATATATATATATATATATATATATATATATATATATATATCTCTCTTGTCTCAAAACAAGAAATCTTAAACAAATATATATATAGATGATCGTATCATCATATCATTAATTATATTGCTTACTTTCAAGTACTTTTTGTGCATGAAAGATTAAATAATTTTATAAAGTATTTTTTATTGTGCAGATGATTAGGTCTGGAAGACTCATTGTTTATTGCAGGTTAGAGCTGCAAGAACAAACAGACGTTAGATAACCCTTTGTAGTGACTTATATGTATATTTCGATAACATTTACTGGGGTATTTCTACTGCATATGGTTTTTCAGCTGTAAGAAATGCGATCCTGTGGAAGTGGAACTGGATAACCAGATCGTTACTGCCAGCCAGAGCACTATCTGCAGTGAAGACAGTGCTGTTCCAGAGACCTGCTGCACTTATGACAGAAATAAGTGTTACACAGCTATGGTCCCACTTATGTATCGTGGTGAGACCAAAATGGTGCCAACAGCCCTGACCCCTGATTCTTGTTACCCTGACTAGTTTGAGTCATACTCAATACTATGCAATTCTCTCTTTAGGGGCTCTCCATTTGAACCCAGAAGTTGTACTCACTGCTCATAAATTTGAAACCAGAATTTTTTTTTTTTTTTGCCTTTTGGATGGTATAAAACTAACATTCCCTTTTAATAGTTAGAATATCAACATTGCTGTCATTATTATGTAATTCTTTCTCAATTCTCAGTATTAAGTCCTCATTTCTGCCTAAGGAGATATTTGCAAGAGTTCATTTCCTGGAGTTTAAAAATGTAAACAAGGGGAGAAAGTAAAATTCCAACAGAAAAATTGAGAGGTGTAATTAAATTAAATCCTTTTTCTTTCCTACTTTGCTGTGGAGAGCTGGAGCTTCTGCACATTCTGTGCTATTCTCTCTCTTAATGTCTCACTGTGTAGAGAAAACATACACATAAACACAGGGTAGTTACATATCTTCACTAGAAGTTGAAAATGACACATTTTGAAGCTATTTACCAATATTTGCAAAACCAGTTTGCTGAAAGTGATGTGATTTGATGCACAATTGAAAAAATGTATTTTGAAATAACACAGAGACTTGCACTAGATTTTTTTGATAAAATTTTGACAATCAGGTTTTTTGTCCGAAATTCTTAGAGGAATCTTCTGTCTTGTAGCTGAATCTAATTGAAATTTGTATTCCTAAATATGTATTCTCTAGCACAGTTTGAACAATTAAATAGATTCATAAGCATATCCCCGTGTGAAGTAATTTGTTGGAAAAATTTTGCTTGTGTTTAACCTACTTATCTGTAACTTAAATATAATTTTTTATTGGCAAACAGTTTGCAAGTATGATGTAATGATGCATTCATCACTAAGTTTATATGAGTACATACTTGAGAAATCTTTCATTTCACATAAGAAATCTTTCATTTCACATCACTAAGTTTATATGAATACATACTTGAGAAATCTTTCATTTCACATAGCACCCTATGGAAGCAGGAGGTCAGTTTGCTTATCATGTTTAAAGCCTTGAGTTTGATGTCCAGCACCTCAAACAGAAGAAAATATGCCCCCTTAAAACAAAACAAAACAAAACAAAACCAAGTAAAAGAAAACAAAACTAAAAAACAAATAACTTTATCCAGCTTTATCTAAGTAGAAAGCCCTCACATATATGGTAGGGCTATTTCAAGGTAGTAACTGGTCACATACAAAGAAACCTATGGTGGAAAGCCATGGCTAATTGATGTATTTATTATTTATCTAAGGGCACTATGGGAAGTAACTCCTGATTCAGAAGCTGACTTGTAGATTCTTCTGACCTGGGAACAGTGTACTTTCCAGGTCTTGACTGTATTGCAGCCGTGTATATTGTCTACTAGGCAACTTTAGTGACCCAAGTTGAAATACAGACTCTTAAGTAGCCCAATTAACACCAGGCAAGGTAATTCAATTTAGGATATGGAATTAGAAATAACTATCCCATAGTTTTTATAAGAATGATGCATCCTATATATGTATGTGTTTTTATAAGTCATTTAGTATAGCTGTCATAGTAGTTAGCACTAGTCAGTAAATTACAGTTGTTACTATGTGTAAATTTTCTTTTGGCTCATCTTTCTGCCAAGGCAACAAATTAGTGAATATCACAGATATGTGTTGTGGTCCTTAACATCAGAGTGCATGAGAATAACCTGGAGGACTCAGGAGAGTAGTTACTAAGTTCCTCCCTCCAAAAGATGCTGATTAAGTAGTTTTGGGGTGCAGAAGCTGGGGAAATTGCAGCTCTTACAAATTTCTAAATTCTGCTGCTATGCCGGACAGTGCAACCATAGCATTAGGATTATGAGCCTCTACTTCCACCTAGTGGTTGGATTACAAAGTACAATGACTATGAGTTTTTAAATTGCAGTCTCCATAGAATTATAAAGATTTCTGTCTTCATTTTGCAAGTAGCACATCTAAAGTTTTTTGACAATTACATTCATTTATTTAGTATGTGTCCATGAAAACAAGAATATATCCATATGTATGTGTGTGTTTGTATATCACTTAGGATAGCTGTTGTAGTATATAACACTATGACTGCCCCAATACCCCACTGTTATGGACTGTATCCCCCAAAACATAAACCAGCTTTTTTCCTTACTTTTCTGTGATTCTTAATACTGTCATCTTGACAGGGCCTCGAGCCACCTAGGAGACAATCTCTAGGCAGATTTCTTTCTTTCTTTCTTTCTTTCTTTCTTTCTTTTTAAAGATTATTTATTTATTTACTTATTATGTATGCAACATTCTGCTTCCATGTATATCTGCACACCAGAAGAGGGCACCAGATCTCATAACGGATGGTTGTGAGCCACCATGTAGTTGCTGGGAATTGAACTCAGGACATCTAGAAGAGCTCCTGGTGCTCTTAACCTCTGAGCCATCTCTCCAGCCCTCTAGGCAGGTTTCTGAGGGAGTTTCTAATGTGGGTGGAATCATACCACCAGTTGGAATCATAGACTTAATAAAGAGAAGAAAGAAAACTGAGCACCAGCATCCATGGCTCTCTGCTTCCTGAATACAGATGCAATGTGATGATGTTCTTGACAGACACCAGGCCTTCCCTGACATGACAGTATGTGCCTTCAAACTGTGAACCAAATAAAGTGCTTATTTCAGAGCACCAGAAAGTAACAGATACAGAAAAATTGGTACTGAGTCCTGAGGGTGTGGCTGTGATAAACTTGACCACATGGTTCAGAGGTCTTTGGAACTGATGTGCAGGAGAAATGTGGAAGAGTTTGGAAATACAGGCTAGAGAAACCTTGAATGCTGTCAACTGAACTTAATAGATTATTCTGGGGAGAGTTGAGAAGGTCATACTTAAAAGAGAAATGTGAACAGTGTGTGCCTCTTATGAGATTTCACAAGGAAAAGCCTCTGTTGAGAACTAGCATAGAGGCTATTCATGCTACATTCTAGAATACATCGTGGCTACATTCTGCCAGTGCCCTGGAAATTTGAGTGAGACTGAATTAAGAAATAATAGACTAAGTTGGTCGATAGAGGAAATTTCAAGGTGGCATAACATTCAGCCTGTGGCTAGCTTAATGATTAGTGTTCTTATCCAGGTTTTACAGTGAGCAGGAATATCTAGTGGAGGAGAAAGATGAAAAATGTGCATTTTGGCGAGGAAAGTAGTGTGAGAAAGTTCATAAAGTTGACAACAAAGAGAGCAAAAAAGCAGCTGTAATTGTTAAAGAGTTAGGACAATTAAGGGAAGACTCACACTTTGCACTGGGTCAATAGCATGACCGTGCCCATCACAGGCTTTATCCTGTGAAACGTAAACTCATTTGAAAGGACACAGCTTAAACCTAGAATTCAGCTGAAGGGCTCTCTTCTTGAAAACAACCTCCTAGGTTCAGCCTTCAAGGTACACAGAGGCCACTACAACTATAAGAGAAGGGAGCCAAACTACATCTTGAGCTGCCCCAGAACATGGCAGCATTGTCTAGATGCATCTGGATCTGCAGGCTGAACAAAATGCATGAACTACAGTGTCATAGAGGCTTACACCAGGGTTTTGAAAAGCTGATGTGTGGCAGGGTTAGATTTGCTACAAGGAGAATCCTGGACTCTTACTTCAAAGCTGTGAAGGTGACACTTAAGTGGGAATGGGCATCTCAGGATGTTGAAGAAGCCAGCGTCTTGAGAAGTTGAATGTACAGAGTGGAGTCAGCACGAGAGATATTACATGTACTGTGGGTTATAGAGCTGTAGGAGTGGCACTACTGAACACTGCTGAAGCTTGCATGGTGCCACCTAAAGCCCCAGATGCTAGACATGCAGCTCTAGGATTTGGAATTTGCCATTCTGGGATTCGTTCTTGCTCTGTTCAATCTTTCCTTGCTGTGCCTCCATTCCTCACCTTTGGAACAAGAATATTCTGTGCCATTGCCTGTTGGAAGTATTTGACTTTATTTTTGCACGGTTAAGAGATCATTTTTTGGGGCTGGAGAGGTGCCTCAGCTGTTAAGAGTGCATTATTACTCTTAAAGAGGATCTGAATTTTATTCCCAGAACACATGCCAGATGGTTCACAACTGCCTGCAACTCCAGGGGGCCCAATGTCTCTGTTCTCTGCAGGTACTCAGCACACACATGCCACATACTCACACACTCACACAAATGGACACACATACACATGATTAAAAGTAATTTCATCCATTTACCTGCAATTTTCATGATATCACTTTTCTTTATAGCTGAGTCATATTCTATTGTATATATGTAGCACATTTCCATTGTCCATCTGTTGAAGGACATTCAGGTTGTTTTCATTTTGTGCTATTGTGAATAGGGTGGCAATGAACCTGGCTGAACAAGTGTCTGTGGAGTAGGATCCCCAGCCCTTTGGGCATTTGCCAAGGAGTGGTATAGCTGGGTCATATGGTAGATTCATTTTTAGGGTTTTTTTCCTTTTCCTTCCCACATTTTCTTTTTTCTTTCTCTCCCTCTCTTTTTCCCTCTCGTCTTGTCTTGTCTTGTCTTGTCTTGTCTTGTCTTTCTTGATTCTCTATTGACTTCCAGAGTTGCATTCCCACCAACAGTGAATGTGGGTTCCTTTCTTTACAATCTTGCTAGCATTTGTGATGAGTTGTTGATCTTAGCTATTCTGACTGGGGAAAGATGATATCTTTAAGTTGTTTTAACTTTCATTTTTAAGGATGATGAGCATCCTTTGAGCTATTCCTTAGCTATTTTTAGTTTTTCTATTGAGAACTCTCTGTTTAGATCCCTAGGCCATTTTTAAACTATGTCTTTTTCTTTTTTCTGTTTTCTTTTGAGCACTTTGTGTGCTGGCTAGTTCTCTGTCAACTGAACACAAGCTATAGTTATCTGAAAGGAGAGAAAATGCCTCCATAAGATAAGGCTATAAAGTATTTTCTTAACTAGTGATTGATAGGGTGGGTCCAACCCATTGTGGGTGGTGCCATCATTGGGCTGGTGGACCTGGGGTGTATAAGAAAAGCAGGCTGAGCAAGCTATGAGGAACAAGCCAGTAAGTAATGCCCCTCCATGGTCTCTGCATCAGCTCCTCCCTCCAGGTTTCCTGTATTCCTTGAATTCTTGCCCATACTTCTTTTGATGATGAACTGTTATATGAAATTGTGAGTGAAATAAACCCTTTCATCGCCAAGTTTCTTTTAGTCTTGGTGTTTCATTACAGCAATAATAACCGTTACTAAGACAAACTAGTACCAGTAGTGTGGTATTGCTGTTACAGACCTGACTGTGTTGCTTTGAGGGAGGATTGTGGAAAGACTTTGGAACATTGAGTAGCGAGAGCTCAGTGAGATGTTCTGTAGGACCTTTGAAGATAAGAATGTTGAGAGCAGTGCAGAAGATGGAGGCTTGGTTTGTGGAGTTTCAAAGGGAAGCAAAGACTCTCCTAGGCTAGTCTGTGGTGTCTGGCCAGCTTGATCTGTGATTAAAAAGTGATAAGAATCACAAAAGCAAAACTTTTACTTTTCTGGACCAATGGATGATAGTCAGCTGTGGCTGAAGAATCGCCTTGATTAAGAAGAGATCAGCATCATTGAGGTAAAATCTTCTGGGAAGTGTTTCCTGAGAGTAAGCACACAGAAGCTCTGTTCCAGAGGTGGCCAGTGTTGTACCTTGGGCTAGCAGCTGAACTTGGTATTGTGTAAGAGTCACCAAGGTGGTGCTGTTTTTGAAGGTGTTAAGGGATCATGGAGAACTGATGAGGCTTGGTACTGTGTGACAGGGATGGAGTCCCTGAAGAGAGCCCAAGAGATGCTGTTGGTGAAAGTGCAGTCCAGTTGCAGCAAGAACTCCCAGCATTTTGGAGATGGCAGTACCATTGGATGACTTCTAAGAACAGCAGGAGCAGTGGAGTGGAGCTGGAATGAGCCCAGAACACAAGGTGTGTGTACTGCAGAGGGCAGAGCTAGAGAAGTGACCCAAGCTCTTTGGAGGAGCCCAGAAGATGAATGAATCCTAGACATTTATGCTGTTGGAGTTTGTTTTTGCTTTGTTCAGAGTATAAGTGTATTCTTCCCTCTTGAAGTGAGAGGCATTTAATTTATTTTTGATTTTACAGGAGCCCACAGTTGAGAGACTTTGAATTTTAAAAGACTGGATTTTAAAAGAAATTAACTATTTTGAAGATACTATTTTTTTTTTATTTTTGGTTTTTCGAGACAGGGTTTCTCTGTGTAGCTTTGGAGCCTATCCTGGCACTCGCTCCGGAGACCAGGCTGGCCTCGAACTCACAGAGATCTGCCTGCCTCTGCCTCCCGAGTGCTGGGATTAAAGGCTTGTGCCACCAACGCCCGGCTGAAGATACTAAATTTTTAATTGTTTGAATTTTTAAAAGCTGTGGGACTTTTAAGATTTGGAATGTTTATATTGTAATGTTGATATTAATGTGTGATCTTGAGAAAGAACAAGAAAGGAATGGTTATGGCTTAACGGTGACGTGTTTATCAAGTTGACAAGGGGTCAACTGTGCTGGCTAGTTCTATGTCTCTGGAGAGATGGCCCAGAGGTTAAGACCACTGGCTGTTCTTCCAGAGGTCAGGTGTTCAATTCCCAGAAACCACATGGCGGCTCACAACCATCTGTAATGAGATCTGGTGCCCTCTTCTGGCCTGCGGGAATACATGTAGGACAGAACACTGCATATATAATAAGTAAATATATCTAAAAAAATTTATTGCTCTGTGTTCCTGTGTGTGTGTGTGTGTACCCATATATATATGTGCCAGAGTACATGGTACATGTGTGGAGGTCAGAGGACAACTTGGAGGAGTTAGTTATCTTCTTCCAACATGTGGTCCCTGGGATTCATTCTAACGTTTTCAGGTTTAGCAACAAGTAACTTTTACCCACTGAGCAATCTTGCTGTTCTCCATCAGTAGTGTTTGTCAGGTGTTTATTCATTGCAATGAAAGAGCTAATTAATGTATTTCAGAAAACTTTATAGATAAAAGAATGAAATGTTAAATATTTAAATTTTGTACATATTGATTATACAATATGTAGACAAAAAGAGGACAATATATAAAAGGACAATTTTGGTTGGAGAGATGGTTCAGAGGTTAAGAGCACTGACTGCTCTTCCAGAGGTCCTGAGTTCAATTCCCAGCAACCACATGGCTCACAACCATCCGTTATGAGATCTGGTGCCCTCTTCTGGTGTGCAGATATGCATGGAAGCAGAATGTTGAATACATAATAAATAAATAAAATTAAAAAAAGAAATAGAATGTCAATGTTTTAAAAAACCAAAAAACAAATAAACGAACAATTTTTTAGAACACCCCTTATACATCCATATATGACAAAAGAGTTGATGGAAATAGGTCAAAATATGATTGTTTTGTTTCCTTTTACTTTACATCTTTTTTACAATATTCCATAACTAATATATATTTACTATACACCATTTTGTTTTAGAAAATGCCGATCAGTAGCTGAACACTTAATTATTTTGTTTTGGAAATTATGAATTCCTGTGCTCTTATGCAAGTATTTAAAGAGAAGGTGATGTTTGCAGGCATTTAGCTTGCCCAGTACAATTGCTCTGAGGGATACATAAAAGAATAATTTACTTTCTAGGAATTTTCCTATAGACAAAACTAACAGAAAAAAGTTTACAATATATTGCAATATGGTTAAAGGTAAGAGATGAGATAAAGGTACTGTGATCCATAAGGAAGATGGAGACTTGGGTTGCAATAGTCTTGGAATAGATGTTAACTGAATAAGATTTACACACTTGAAGAGTCAGAATCTTCTATAATTATGCAAGCCAGAAAAAGAGCAAGGAACATTAGGGAAATGTAAGAATCTTGCCCCACCTTGTGCGTGTTACCAGGTGGGGGGCAGCGTGGGGATAAAATGAGTCACAGAGGGTCTTGACTGGGGAGGTGCAGCTTATTGGGCACAGCTTTATTTATTTAGCTTTACTCTCTGTATCAGATTACAGCTCAGAGTGTCCCCTACTTCTTTTGAGGGCTTCTCTTCTCCTAGCATAGCTTTTGCTTGTTACCAGTTAATTTGTGTTTCTAAATTGATGGACTCTGTTCAAAGATAGAGCAAAAGGTTGTTACTGAGTAGGGTGAGGCAGAGAGGCAAGGAGGGACAGGTGGATAAAACCAAATATATCATCTGGTGAAATGCTTTTTTCTATCAGGTACAGTTTCATTTGAGGGTGCAGTTGGCTGTTGACCTGAGTCACAGTGAAACCTTTAAGGTTTTACAAATTAGAAACAGTCTTGTCTTTTTAAAGTCCAACATCTTTGGTTCCCTTTTTGCTCTTAGAAATGACTTTTAGCTTCATGAGTACAAGATGAATTTGAGGGTGGTAACTAAAACTGGATTAAATGAGAAAAGAGGAACAAATAGGGATGCCTAAATAAGAATAAAAGTTACTAAAATACTCTTTAAAGATTTATTAAATGGCTGGTTGTGTTGGCACACACCTTTAATCATAGGGCACCAAAGGCAGAAGCATGTGGATCTCTATAAACTCAAGGCCAGCCTAATCTTCTAATCTACAGAGTGAATTCCAGGACAGCCAGGGCTATTACACAGAGAAATCCTGTCTTGAAAATTCAACCAAACTAAACCAAACCACAAAAGATGTTTTAAATGTGTGACTCTGGTTTGAATGGCCAAATTTAAATGTGTTCTCTATATCTTTAGATGCTCCAGAATCTTGGAGAAAGACACTCCATGGTAATGCTTGCCAGGCTGAATTCTCAGAAGGCCAGATGAGCCTGCACCTCATCATTCTACTTCACCTTCTATATAGTAAAGAGCCCAAGGTTTCCCCAGAGAACTGCACTGTGCCTCCAGAGCTGCTGGGACAGAAGGTTTGCATGAGCCTCTGGGCTGTCTCTTGTCTGTAACCTTTAGGTTTGGTTTTCTTCTGTATCATTTATCTTCTAAGGACATCCTAGGTTATACCTAGCTATGTTAGTATCAGCAGAGATGACTGTTAGATATGTCATCCACTATAGAAGTGGGTAGCAGTAGCAGGATGGAGATGCTAGAGGTAAGGGGTGTGTTGTTACCAGAACTGTTAGTATGTGCCCCTTACTTTAGACTTCAAAAGCTTTATGAATGACTAAAGCAGGACACAGAGTGATCAATACATGTAATGCAAGGAACTCATGTCTACTAGGCGGGCTTGTAGAAGCATCCCTGTGCTCATAGAAACAAGTATCATTATCTACAGGAACATTTTCATTCTTTTTATTATGTTCTCAAGTTTAATAGATTTGTTTTTGGTCAAACTGTGCTTTTTTACACTTTACATTACAGATAAAGTAGCAATATTTCACAGATGTAGATGTGGCAACATATTTATTGTGACAAAAAGGCCAAAACCAAAGGGAAAAAATGTAAACACCACTCCCACTACCACAAAGCAATAAAAAATTAAATTAAATTTACAAACCCACAAAAAGGCCAAAACCACGGCTCCGTAAAGAATAAGTTTACTCACTCGGTAGCACTCAGGCTATCACTGCTTAGAGCCAGACTTACAACTCCTTCTATCAGTCCCATTCCTAATGGCCTCTGGCACCTCACCCCAAGGAGGCAAACAATGTTATATTGAATTGACTACTTCAGGATTACAGTGAGCCACCATCTCTACTCTGTTCAGAGGCACCCTGACATGAGTGGCTCAGGGGGCAGCTCAGGTGATTTCTCTCAACTCTCATACAAGAACCATATCACTCCCTTTCATGGCTGGAACTCTGCCTACGAGACCTTGCCCACTGTGTCTCTGTCCACAGTGTCTGTTCTTTACTAGAACTTTTATATCAGTTCTGGTTTGGTAAATACTTCTACCCCTGTGCCTTGGGCTCATCATTCTTGGCATGACAATATTGACTGAAACAACTGGGTCACTCATTCATTTTGGTGAAATACAAAGTGAACATTTTGTACTGAAAGTATTCACTTTGAAGTTTTGGGGAAAATAATAAGCTAGTGGTTTTAAATATATGACTAAAGTATAAAGCTTCTGGGTTGGGGAGGAACTTAAGCCATCAGTGGGTAGCACAGTCTGCAGTGGTCCAGTGCAAGTGTTGCTGAACAAAAGGCTAGAAACATGGTGCTTTATTCAGTATCCTCAGGTATCTCCCACAGAAGAGCCGGTGGCAGTGTGAATGTGTAAAGGCATCTAGAAGCCAGTCAGCCAATCAGCATTTATTGGGAATCTTCTATTGGTAAGACATTATGCTAGATCAAAGGGCCAAGTTCTTTTTCTCAGGAGGGTTTCACCAATTTCTGAGGTCATACAAAATCTGTCACAGGAAAATTTCTCTAAGAAACTCCTTAGGAATAGAAAGTAACTTTGTAGGTAATTTAGAGATTTTTACCCGTAGACTCAAAACAGACAATATCCAGATAACAGGCCAAAATGCCTTTAATAACAGTAAAAATAATATCAATAAAATTCAAATATATTCTAAGCAAGACAATATAGAAACATCTACTTTACAAAATAATTTACACTATTTAGTTATGATACTTGGAAGTTGTGTCTGTGAATAATCTACAAGGACATAAAGCATAAGCATGATAGTCATAATATTTGGTGGTATAATAATTTATATTGAACTAGTAAAGAAAACTAAACATTGAGTGTTTTATCTGCATAAGGTAGTCTTTCCCCAAATAGCCTCTGCAGATACTGGCCTTAGTCTTTTTTTTTTTTCATTTTCTGGATACTCAGTCCCAGAATGACAACCTCTTCTCTTCTTCATTTCCCACTTTCCTAAGCCCTATGATTTGGTAACTAGCCTGTCTTCCATTCTCCTAGAATATGCTCTTCTAACAAGGCTGTCTACTTGGAGAGGTCAGGAGAGAATTAACAACAAAAGTAACTGCTTCAGGTGTATCATCTACAGTGATGTTTTGGCTGAGAAAAAAATTGGAGAGTAGAATTTACAGAGTAGATTCAAAGAGGGAAGATGATGTATAGCAAGAAAATGGCATATAAACTAGGAAAAAAGAAACTTAGGAAGAAAAAGGAGTCAGAGAGGAAAGATTAATTGGCAAAAGATCAAACTTATACACTAGGAGACAGAACACAGACTGACAATGGTCAAAGATAGCTACCTCAGAATGTGAGAAGTGATGAAGGGAGAATGTTGAGGAAACACTGAAAGCTCTATCGAGAGGGGAGAAGAAAGAGAAAATTGAAGGGGAAAGAAGGAAGCAAATAATGGAGAAAAAGAACAGTAGAAGAAAAAAGTGACACAGCTAGTATTAACTAGGAAATACAATAAATAAAAGTAGCCCAAAGGAAAAGTATACAGCATTTCAGGACTGTACTAATATGCAGGCCTCTGTATGGAACACTCAACAATCTGCTAGATGTGCAAAACCAGACAACAGTGTAAGAAATTTGAGAGAAAAAGGATAAATTAGCAAGAAAGAGGGAACTGAGACAATCAGACAAATAGCTTCCAAGTTTCAAGGCAGGAATGGTCATGGCCTTCATGCTTTTTCTTAAGTGTGCACTAATTTGTTACAGTGCTGGATCCAGCCAGCCCCAAAGGCCCACTCTCACTAACTCTACCTGGGCCACTATTTCTACTGTTGGGAGGGTAAAAGACTTAGGAATCATCAAGGTCAGATAATCAAGTCTCAGGGAGCAAAGTTATAGAATCATTGACATAGGATTGCTAGTTGTTTTCATGGCCCAAGAATGCTCAGTTGAAGTTATCCCTAAGCCTGAAGCAGTAAACAGCCTTGTACTTGGTCCTCTTGACTTGTTCCTTGGAAAGCCTCAAATGTAGTGTGTTCATCTGCATTCAGTTGATCTATATTTATACTTTTAGAATGTTCCCTAGTAGCTAACCCAACCGAAGTGTTAGGATTTTCAGTAGGTATAGAGAGAGCACCATTAAGCAGGCTTTGTCTTCCATTATTAGTTGGAGGTCCAGTGCTTGAAGAGTGAAACTTTGCTAATTTGGAGCTAAAACATGGTAATTTAAGAATGGTAGGTGGTCTTTGCTGCTGCATCTCACCCTCATTTCCTTGGACTTCGCTTTGTATGCTGTCGGGGCCAGAGCCTTTATCAGGGACACCAATAATGAGCTTTTCAGGAGTAAGTTCAGCAGTCCTTTCATTGAGCTGGCTGCCTTCAAAAAATTGTTTCAGAACATCCCTCCGATCTCCTCCAAGGTCACTTTTAAGACAGGGCTTATTTTTTGGCTGAGGAGAGCTAGCTTCAGGAAAGGCCATAATTCCTGTCTCCAGTTGATTCTCTCCAGAATAAGGCGTGTTTCTCCTCAGAGCAGGTACAGCATCTCCAAAAGGGCTTGGGTTCGGGCTTTCTGCAGTTAGTTTATTCTCTGAGATGTTTCTTTGACTAGGTAGGATGCTTGTTGGGGAGACATTAGGTCTTGCATACTTTGTATAACTACTTTCTGTATACACAGGACTGGTTTCTTTATTCTCCCTTGGTGCAAGACCATAGGATGAAGTGTAGTCTTGTAGAGCCAGTGCATTGTCTTTATGTCCTGTGGAGCCTCCAATACAGCAGGAACCTCTCTGGCTTTGGTGAAACAAGTGTGCTTCATTTTGGCCTGATGGATAACTTTGAGGAATGAAATCTGGGAAAGCCAACTGTTCTCTGTCTGGTGGACTTAAACTAGTAATTTGTAAATCATAGTTCAAATTCTCACCTTCAAGCCATGTTGGATCTTTTGGAAGTTCGGCAGGGGAGTTAGTGGAATAAGGATGGTCCCTCTTCTGGTTTGGTGTATTAGATTTGTGTAAATTTGCTGACTGACCCCAGACATTTCTGTTGAAATATGGCTCACTTTCTTTCTGTCCCTGTGCTTGGTTCCCGTAGTCCCAAGAGGTCCATGAAGGAAAGAGAGTGCTTTCTTCTTGACCTATGGCATTATTAATATAATAATTTATGGGGTCCACAGGTGGTGCTATAGTAGGACCTGGAGTATATATGGGAAAGTTTTCAGGTGGGTTCCAGGCATAGAAGTCACTGTAAGGAAAAAGTTCCTTAGGTGGATTACCTAAGGAATAGGGAAGATAGTCCTTGGGTAGGGTTGAGGCATATTTATCACCTTCATACTGCCTAACTGTTGGGCTTCCTTTGAAGCTCAGCTCTTCATCACCCCATTTACTTTGTCCTGGAAAAGTTTCGTCTTCATTTGGATCAATTGGATCCTCTTCATTATACTGTTCTGTCTCCTTCTGGTCTAGAGAATTCATGGGGTACTGTGGATTTTCTGGTTGCCTCATAGTACTGGGAGAGTGAACTTTCTCATTCCATGTATTGCTTGTAATGTAAGGTGAGTTTTCATTAGGATAATAAGGATTGTTATAGTCATGGTAAAAAATATTTCCTCTAGAGCCATAGGAAGGATAAGGTAAAATTTCTTCCTGCCTCCCTCTATCTTCCTTTAGGGGTGGAGAGATTTCTTGGTGATTCCAGGTGTTTCTTTCAGCAGGGAAATGTTCTCTTTTAGGAGAAGGGATTTCCTTAGGGTAGGTAGGCTGGTGTGTACTATGCTTTAATTCAGTTTTCTTAGTTTCTGATTCAAACGGGGTTCTTCTTGGCTCTAAAGCAATTCCTTTGGGCCGATTCTGGTTTTGGATTTGTATTTTGGGACTTGGCACTCTTCTGGAATCTTGTGGGAAGTAGGAGTTTTCTTGTTGATCAAAAGAATTAAAATTTGGGTTTACCCTGCTACCCTCAGGGTGAGGCAAATTATAATTTGGTTTGTTAATTCCATATTGTTGAGAGCTTCTCCAGGGGCTGGCTCTATCTTTCGTAGGAGTGACTGTTCTTTCTTTTTGACCTAGTGACTTTTCCTTTGGATTTTGA